GCCTGGGTGGTGTCTGGTGCCCGGCCTAGCAGTGTCTGGTGCCCAGCTGAGCGATGTCTGGTACCCAGCCGGAGCAGTGTTTAGTACCCGGCCGGAGCAGTGTCTGGTACCCGGCTGGAGCGGTGTCTGGTGTCCAGTTTGTGGTATCTGGTGCCCGGAGCGGTGTCTGGTACCCGGCCGGAGCGGTGTCTGGTACCCGGCCGGAGCGGTGTCTGTACCCGGCCGGAGCGGTGTCTGTACCTGTCTGGAGCGGTGTCTGGCGCTCAGCTGAGCAGTGTCTGGCACCAGTAGCGGGGGCTGGTGCCCGGACCATGCAGGGACTCACCATACACCTGGAGCTCCATGGCAGAGCTGCTCTTTTGGATAAGCGGCCCATGCAGTGTCAGGTCCAGGTCCGCGTGGCAGCTGACCTGCTGCCCATGGTCCCATCGCAGAGGGGTTATCTCTTGGGTCACCGTGATGTTGCTGGGTTCGGCCCCGGTGTGGTGCTGGAAGGTCTCCGTGTGCAGGGTCCAGCCCCCCTGGCGGAGGGTCACGGTGAGGTGTTTGACGGGAGCCACGCTCAGAACCCAGCACGTTAGGTTATAGGCCCGGCCCACCTCCATCACTGGGAGCGGCTCCAGCACCACCTGCTCTGGCGCCCCTGGAGGCAGAGGAGGAAGGACCCAAAGGTGGGTTAATTGGTTCCCTTATGACCCGGGGGCTGCGGAAAGGTGCTGGAACGTGCATCGCTGCACCCCAGGCAGGCGGAGCCCCAGGGAAGCTCCCCACGAGCAGAGTCCTGCCCCGGAGGGGACCCACTGGCGGCCAGAGCCACGCGCAGACTTGCCGCCCGGCTGGCAGGAGTGCTAATGGGCAGGAGGTCTGGACGTGGATGGCTGCCTCCAGTGAGGCCCAGCAACTCGTCCCACCCAACCGCTGCCAGAGGGCAGCTCCACGCAGGCGCCGCCTGGCTCAGTGGGTCGGAGCCAGCGTCCCTTGCAGGGAAAGGCCCGTGCCCCATTTCCTGCTCCCTAAAGCAGCCAGTCCTCTGCCCAGGGCCAGATGGTGTCAGCGCCCCATTGAGGGCAGCCAGAAGGTCTCAGTGGGGCAAGAGCTGGGAGCCCGGGGCACTTACGGTAAGCAGAGAGGGCTGCGGTTGCACGCCTCGAATCTCCTCGGCACACGAAGTGGCACACAGGGGCCGATGCCCATTCCTGGATATTGACGAGGTGAAAGGCCACCCAGCTGGGTCCATGTTTTGAGCTGGCTTTGGCGAGCGAGGTCTCCAGGCCCCCCGGGGCAGCAGGATCTTCGCACGTGTGGCTGCAGTTTATCCAGACGGACCCTCCGTGCTCCACCACGGGGGCTTCCGGCGAGACGTGCACCTCGAACGAGCCCTGCACGGCCCCTGAAACGGCCCAACCCGCCCGTCACGCTGCGTGTCCAGGGCAGGTGCACGGCAAAGCAGCATGTGAGACACGCAGCAAGGGATGAGCTCAGCTCCTGGAGACCTCTTTTCCCTGGCGGGGCCAGGAGGCCCTTTCACCAGCCTCACACATGGGTCCCAATTCCACTCTCTGCTGCCAGCATGGGCACCGAGTAACACTGCACACTTCTACATACACGCTTGCGCAGGACTCAGACACACAGCAGACAACTGTATCATGGGGCTAAGGCCCCTCAGACCGGCCATGGTTGACGGTGGGGTGCAGCCTGTCCCCCTAAGGCAGGTTGAACCAAGCTCTCTGGCGGGGGGGGCCCAGGTGCCCCACAGTGGGCGGTCATCTTGCTGCCCACCCACCTCCATGTAGGGGGAGCTCGGATCTTGGGGGGCCTGTGGGTGAGAAGAAGCATCGGGGGCAGGAGCACAGGGAGCCACTTGGGTCCAGTGAGGAAGTTCAGGGATGTGGCCGCAACAGGGGCTGGGATGCCTTTTGCTCCAGATTTAATTCCAAACCTGTGTGTCTAATCCCCTGTTGTCCCCACTTCCTAGTCCTGCAGACCCATGGGGTATCTCCCTGCCCCTCGGCGCTCCTCTACTGACCTGCCCATCCCCTGTCTAACTGCCTCTCCATCCCCAAACCGCACCCACCTTCAACCTCTGCAGCCCCATCCACGCCCCATCTAGCGCCTGGTTCCTCCAGACATGGCTGCTGTCACCAAAGGCCCGTCCTGAGTGCATGCTGCCCTGCTCCCCCTGGCCAGGCCAGGCCCTGAGGGGAAGGGGCACGGAGTGGGAAAGACTGCAGAGGGGGAAGTAGCCATCCTCCTGAAGGGCAAGCAGCAGCCTGCCACCGTGGGAGGCCTAGTTCCCCAGTGATGCTGCTGGGGGGTCCGACAATCCCCCTTCCCTCTGACAGGTGAGCAGAGGGGAGTGTCCCATGCTGGGTCAGGCCCTACGCTTGGCCCTTGTTCCTGTGCCCAGCCAGGGGCGCCATTGCCGATTTGTATGGGGGGCGACCTGTGCATGCCCTGATGGGGTGGGGAGAGAATGAGAGCATGGGGGAGGGCAGGAGGCAGATGAGGACAGTGGCATCCACCGTCTTACTGAGCGTGCTCAGTACAAGCCAAGCAGCAAATGTGGGGGACCGATTCCATTCACCCCCCTCCCCCCGCACACACAGATTGCCTCTTTCCAGGGCTACTGAGGCACAGGAAGATTGTAGGTTTGTGTTTGGAGATAACTTAGCAGGTAACTGACAGGAGCTCTGTATCGAATTCCCATGAATAGGATCCCCTCTTTGCTCCAACGCTAAGGTGCTCTGACACTTCAGGGACACTGGTTAGCCTTCATGTTGTCATACGGGCTTACTTTCTTCCCAAGTGCAGAGCGAGAGAGAGAGACCGACCGTCAGGACTCGGGGCTCGCTCTCAGCTCTGGAAAGCTGGCGGGGTGGGCCCAGGTGCCCCACAGTGGGCGGTCATCTTGCTGCCCACCCACCTCCATGTAGGGGGAGCTCGGATCTTGGGGGGCCTGTGGGTGAGAAGAAGCATCGGGGGCAGGAGCACAGGGAGCCACTTGGGTCCAGTGAGGAAGTTCAGGGATGTGGCCGCAACAGGGGCTGGGATGCCTTTTGCTCCAGATTTAATTCCAAACCTGTGTGTCTAATCCCCTGTTGTCCCCACTTCCTAGTCCTGCAGACCCATGGGGTATCTCCCTGCCCCTCGGCGCTCCTCTACTGACCTGCCCATCCCCTGTCTAACTGCCTCTCCATCCCCAAACCGCACCCACCTTCAACCTCTGCAGCCCCATCCACGCCCCATCTAGCGCCTGGTTCCTCCAGACATGGCTGCTGTCACCAAAGGCCCGTCCTGAGTGCATGCTGCCCTGCTCCCCCTGGCCAGGCCAGGCCCTGAGGGGAAGGGGCACGGAGTGGGAAAGACTGCAGAGGGGGAAGTAGCCATCCTCCTGAAGGGCAAGCAGCAGCCTGCCACCGTGGGAGGCCTAGCTCCCCAGTGATGCTGCTGGGGGGTCCGACAATCCCCCTTCCCTCTGACAGGTGGGCAGAGGGGAGTGTCCCATGCTGGGTCAGGCCCTACGCTTGGCCCTTGTTCCTGTGCCCAGCCAGGGGCGCCATTGCCGATTTGTATGGGGGGTGATGGGGTGGGGAGAGAATGAGAGCATGGGGGAGGGCAGGAGGCAGATGAGGACAGTGGCATCCACCGTCTTACTGAGCGTGCTCAGTACAAGCCAAGCAGCAAATGTGGGGGACCGATTCCATTCACCCCCCTCCCCCCGCACACACAGATTGCCTCTTTCCAGGGCTACTGAGGCACAGGAAGATTGTAGGTTTGTGTTTGGAGATAACTTAGCAGGTAACTGACAGGAGCTCTGTATCGAATTCCCATGAATAGGATCCCCTCTTTGCTCCAACGCTAAGGTGCTCTGACACTTCAGGGACACTGGTTAGCCTTCATGTTGTCATACGGGCTTACTTTCTTCCCAAGTGCAGAGCGAGAGAGAGAGACCGACCGTCAGGACTCGGGGCTCGCTCTCAGCTCTGGAAAGGGCTAGTGGGTTACAGCAGGGGCAGATACATTTGAGCTCTGTGTAAGATCAGAGCAGCCAGGCTGGGTGAGACCTAAGGTCCATCTAGCCCAGTGTCCTGTCTGCCCACAGTGGCCAGTGCCAGGTGCCTCAGAAAGGCATCAACAGAAGAGACAAACATCTTATGATCCCTCCCCTGTCGCCCATTCCCAGTTTCTGGCAAACAGAAGGTCGAGACCCCACCCCTGCCCATTCTGACTAGTAGATGGAGCTGTGCTCCTTGAACTTATTTTGTTCTTAGTGGAACCCTATTACACTTTGGGCCTTTCCATCATCTCCCAGCAAAGAGTTCCATAGGTTAATTGTGAAAAAATAATTGTGTTTGTTTTAAAACTGCTTCCTATACATTTCATTGGGTCAGCTTCTTATGTTATGATAGTGAAGGAGTAAATAACAGTTCATAGTCTATGTTCCCACACCGTTCATGATGTTCTAGACCTCTCACATTTCCCCCATCCTTTAGTCATTTCTTTTCCACGTGGAAAGTCCCAGTCTTTTTAATCTCTTCTCATATGGAAGCTGTTCCTCACCCCTGATCATTTCTGTTGCCCTTTCTGTACCTGTTCCAAATCCAGTAGATTTTTTTTAGAATGGGTGACCAGATCTGCCTACACTAGTATTCAAGATGTGGGCATACCATGACTTTATATGGAGGCAATAAGGTATTTTTTGTCTTATTCTCTATTCCTTTCCTAATGATTCCCAATATTCTGTTAAGTTTTTTTTTGGGGGGGGGGGGTGTTTTGATTGAACAGCTGTTTTCAGGGAACTATCCACAAGGATTCCAAAATCTTTGAGTGGTAACAGCTATTTTAGACCACAGCATTTTTGTAACTAGGCATCTATAGTTGGGCTTATATTTTTCCATGCGCATTACTTTGCACTTATCAACACTGACTTCCATCTGCCTTTGTGTTGCCCAGTCACCTGGTTTTGTGAGCTCCCTTTGTAACTCTTTGCAGTCAGCTTTGAGTAATTTTGTATCATCTGCAAATTTTGTCATCTCACTATTTACCCCCTTTTCAAGAACATTTTTAACAGTTTAACAGTACTAGTCCAAATTCAAATCCCAGCAGAACACTCCTTGCTACTTCTTCTCTTCCCCCCCTCCCCATGCTTTTAAGTACCGGGCGATGTTTTCATGATGATCTAACAGTCTCTTAATTACACCCTCCCCATGCTTTTAAGTACCTGGCGATGTTTTCATGATGATCTAACAGTCTCTTAATTACTTGAATGATCATTTTTTTGCTATTCTTAATCACCTGTCTTCCTCTTTTGATGATAAACTCCCTGCCACAAAGGCAAAGCTGCAAGCAGCTCACACTGTTGCATTTCAGAACTGCCTCTGGAGTCAGGGCATGCAGCTTTAAGCAGAGCTCGAGTGTGAAATCCAGGGATGCAAACTCAGGAGGAGGGACTACTGCCCCCCTCAACCCCCCATAAATGGCACCCATAAGCCCATCCCTTTGGGAATGTGACCGTACGTCCCCCTCGAGGCAGGGCCTGGGTGCTGGCAGGCAGCCCTTTATAAAGCTGGGAACCCTGCCCTGGCGTGCACTGGGTATGAGACACCAGCCCCAATGGCAGGGGATGGGTAGCTGGGCCTGGTGGTGCTGGCTGGGACTAGCAAGTAGTGCAAAGAGTAGGAGACACCTCAGTCTGCACGAGGGGTGAGCCTGGTTTTCTCAACCCCCGGGGAGTAAGGACGTTAAAATGTGGTTATCTGGATAATCGTGCAGTTGCCACAATTTGTATGGACTACGATTAGTCGCTAAGTGCTGCTCTGCAGAGCCACAGCAAGGTAGCTCCAGGAGCCAGCTCGAGATGGGACTGAGCAGTCCCAGCTCAAGCTAGCTCCGGGAGCCACCCTAGGGCTCTGCGAAAGTGAGGAGTCGATACTCCAGTCAGCAACCTGATAAACTTATGTTTACTGGGGACTAGTCGCTAAAAAGCCTATAGAGGAGCAGATATCTCAGACCGCAAGCTGGGACCAGCAGTGGGCTCAGGACAGCAGGGAATCCACCCTGGCAGGGGAGCATTGAACGCCCCCTTGGTGGGCAGGGGTGCATGCATCTGGGGAGTCAGAAAAAGCCAATGGGAGCCTGGCGCTTGGGCAGTGCTGGCAACTGCCATGACTCTGCTGAGCTGCCAGCACCCAGAACAGTGTCTGGTGCCCGGCCTGAGTGGTGTCTGGTGCCCGGCCTAGCAGTGTCTGGTGCCCAGCTGAGCGATGTCTGGTACCCAGCCGGAGCAGTGTTTAGTACCCGGCCGGAGCAGTGTCTGGTACCCGGCTGGAGCGGTGTCTGGTGTCCAGTTTGTGGTATCTGGTGCCCGGAGCGGTGTCTGGTACCCGGCCGGAGCGGTGTCTGGTACCCGGCCGGAGCGGTGTCTGTACCCGGCCGGAGCGGTGTCTGTACCTGTCTGGAGCGGTGTCTGGCGCTCAGCTGAGCAGTGTCTGGCACCAGTAGCGGGGGCTGGTGCCCGGACCATGCAGGGACTCACCATACACCTGGAGCTCCATGGCAGAGCTGCTCTTTTGGATAAGCGGCCCATGCAGTGTCAGGTCCAGGTCCGCGTGGCAGCTGACCTGCTGCCCATGGTCCCATCGCAGAGGGGTTATCTCTTGGGTCACCGTGATGTTGCTGGGTTCGGCCCCGGTGTGGTGCTGGAAGGTCTCCGTGTGCAGGGTCCAGCCCCCCTGGCGGAGGGTCACGGTGAGGTGTTTGACGGGAGCCACGCTCAGAACCCAGCACGTTAGGTTATAGGCCCGGCCCACCTCCATCACTGGGAGCGGCTCCAGCACCACCTGCTCTGGCGCCCCTGGAGGCAGAGGAGGAAGGACCCAAAGGTGGGTTAATTGGTTCCCTTATGACCCGGGGGCTGCGGAAAGGTGCTGGAACGTGCATCGCTGCACCCCAGGCAGGCGGAGCCCCAGGGAAGCTCCCCACGAGCAGAGTCCTGCCCCGGAGGGGACCCACTGGCGGCCAGAGCCACGCGCAGACTTGCCGCCCGGCTGGCAGGAGTGCTAATGGGCAGGAGGTCTGGACGTGGATGGCTGCCTCCAGTGAGGCCCAGCAACTCGTCCCACCCAACCGCTGCCAGAGGGCAGCTCCACGCAGGCGCCGCCTGGCTCAGTGGGTCGGAGCCAGCGTCCCTTGCGGGGAAAGGCCCGTGCCCCATTTCCTGCTCCCTAAAGCAGCCAGTCCTCTGCCCAGGGCCAGATGGTGTCAGCGCCCCATTGAGGGCAGCCAGAAGGTCTCAGTGGGGCAAGAGCTGGGAGCCCGGGGCACTTACGGTAAGCAGAGAGGGCTGCGGTTGCACGCCTCGAATCTCCTCGGCACACGAAGTGGCACACAGGGGCCGATGCCCATTCCTGGATATTGACGAGGTGAAAGGCCACCCAGCTGGGTCCATGTTTTGAGCTGGCTTTGGCGAGCGAGGTCTCCAGGCCCCCCGGGGCAGCAGGATCTTCGCACGTGTGGCTGCAGTTTATCCAGACGGACCCTCCGTGCTCCACCACGGGGGCTTCCGGCGAGACGTGCACCTCGAACGAGCCCTGCACGGCCCCTGAAACGGCCCAACCCGCCCGTCACGCTGCGTGTCCAGGGCAGGTGCACGGCAAAGCAGCATGTGAGACACGCAGCAAGGGATGAGCTCAGCTCCTGGAGACCTCTTTTCCCTGGCGGGGCCAGGAGGCCCTTTCACCAGCCTCACACATGGGTCCCAATTCCACTCTCTGCTGCCAGCATGGGCACCGAGTAACACTGCACACTTCTACATACACGCTTGCGCAGGACTCAGACACACAGCAGACAACTGTATCATGGGGCTAAGGCCCCTCAGACCGGCCATGGTTGACGGTGGGGTGCAGCCTGTCCCCCTAAGGCAGGTTGAACCAAGCTCTCTGGCGGGGCGGCCCCGGTGTGGTGCTGGAAGGTCTCCGTGTGCAGGGTCCAGCCCCCCTGGCGGAGGGTCACGGTGAGGTGTTTGACGGGAGCCACGCTCAGAACCCAGCACGTTAGGTTATAGGCCCGGCCCACCTCCATCACTGGGAGCGGCTCCAGCACCACCTGCTCTGGCGCCCCTGGAGGCAGAGGAGGAAGGACCCAAAGGTGGGTTAATTGGTTCCCTTATGACCCGGGGGCTGCGGAAAGGTGCTGGAACGTGCATCGCTGCACCCCAGGCAGGCGGAGCCCCAGGGAAGCTCCCCACGAGCAGAGTCCTGCCCCGGAGGGGACCCACTGGCGGCCAGAGCCACGCGCAGACTTGCCGCCCGGCTGGCAGGAGTGCTAATGGGCAGGAGGTCTGGACGTGGATGGCTGCCTCCAGTGAGGCCCAGCAACTCGTCCCACCCAACCGCTGCCAGAGGGCAGCTCCACGCAGGCGCCGCCTGGCTCAGTGGGTCGGAGCCAGCGTCCCTTGCGGGGAAAGGCCCGTGCCCCATTTCCTGCTCCCTAAAGCAGCCAGTCCTCTGCCCAGGGCCAGATGGTGTCAGCGCCCCATTGAGGGCAGCCAGAAGGTCTCAGTGGGGCAAGAGCTGGGAGCCCGGGGCACTTACGGTAAGCAGAGAGGGCTGCGGTTGCACGCCTCGAATCTCCTCGGCACACGAAGTGGCACACAGGGGCCGATGCCCATTCCTGGATATTGACGAGGTGAAAGGCCACCCAGCTGGGTCCATGTTTTGAGCTGGCTTTGGCGAGCGAGGTCTCCAGGCCCCCCGGGGCAGCAGGATCTTCGCACGTGTGGCTGCAGTTTATCCAGACGGACCCTCCGTGCTCCACCACGGGGGCTTCCGGCGAGACGTGCACCTCGAACGAGCCCTGCACGGCCCCTGAAACCCGCCCGTCACGCTGAGTCTCTAGGGCATGTGCATGGCAAAGCAGCATGCGAAACACACAGGAAGGGAGGAGCTCAGCCCCTGGAGATCCCGCCCTTCACCAGCCTCACACACGGGCCCTGATCCCACTCTCTGCTGCCAGCGTGGGCCCCGAGTGACTCTGGGGGAGGGCAAGGGCAGCATAGCAACAGGATTCACAAGAGTGGAATATGGTTTGTGTGTCTGGAAACTTTTAGCACACACGCATACACAGAGACACAGTGGACAAACGCAGACACAGACTGTTGAAACACACACACAAGTGACCGGTGGAGGCACACACACACATACTGTAGTCACACAGGCTGTGTACACACACACAGCGGACATGTCGGGACACACAGACACACGCACACTAGTAGACACACGCATACAGTGTGGTGGATGCCAGCGAGGGCGATCAGTCCCTTACCTGTCAGAGTTGTCAGCACACCCCAGGCCAGGAGCAAGAGAAGCTGAGCCATGGGGCTGGGGTCACCGCTTCCCGGGGGCTCAGACGGCTCCGTCCCACGGGAAAGGCAGGGTGCTGAGCGCTAAGTGAGCTGCCTGGAAGCTGCTTTCTGTGTTTATAGAAGAGTTCAGTGCTGTTCCTGGAAGCCCCCACCCTTCTGAGGCACGCTGGGAGGAGGAGATTTCCAGCCTTGCTGGCCGAGGGACTTCCGATTTTCTACCCTTTCCAAGGCAGGCTTTCCCAGGGCAAGGCACACAGCTACACGTGTCCCCCACACATGTGGCTGTGCACCACTGAGAGAAACAAAACCTGCCTGCTGGCGCTCTGCAACTCAGCTGGGTGGCAAAGGAATCTCCCAAGCAGCCGCACGCGCGTAGCTTGTGGGTACGGGGCACACCGGGCTCCCCCCACCCCGCCCCGGACCTGGTGCTCTCCGGGGAGCTGCCTTGGTTGGGATGGAGCCCTGACAGCTGGAACAATCCGTGGGCCAGGGCCTCATTTGCCATTATTACAAGACAGACAGACAGACGCTCTGCAGGAGAAAACACTGCTCTTTGGTTATTTATTTAACCAGGGGCCTGGACATGTGCACGTAACACAACAGGCAGGCTGCTCACTTTTCCCCCTGCATCATTTAACCCAGTGGCCAGCACGGCCTGCTTGCATTCCTGAAGCTGCTCAGCACCCCACCCCGTCGGCTGTCTGGTCTACGCTGTGTGGCGAGTGTGAGCTGGGTGTCAGCTGTGTCGGATCCGCTGGAAATGGCAGCTGGTTTCCTTGTGTGTGCGGGGCTGCTCAAGGGACGAGCAGATGTTTGTAACCCATTCCAGTGCGTCACCACCCTCCTAGGGAAATAGTTTTTCCTAATTTCCAACCTAGACCTCCCCCACTGTAACTTGAGACCAACCTGCTCTTAGATCTGCCATCCGCCACCACTGAGAACAGCCTTTCTCCATCCTCTTTGGAACCTCCCTTCAGGAAGTTGAAGGCTACTACCAAATCCCCCCTCACTCTTCGCTTCTGCAGACTGAACAAACCCAAATCCCTTAGTCTCTCCTCGTAGGTCATGTGCTCCAGCCCCTCATCATTTTGGTTGCCTCAGCTGAGCTTTCTGGGCTTTACCCAGTGCTAAAGCGCAAAAAGACCAAAAGATCCATTATGGTCACACTTTTGCCCTTAGGTTTATTTCTTTTATTGTGAGCCAGTTTCTGCAGCGACTCTTTGCTGTGTGGAAACGCGTGTGATGCGCAGAATGTGACAGTAGCCACGTGCTAGAAAGAAGCTGTGTCATTCTAGTGCGTGTGAGGGAGGAATGGGTGCATAGGAAGAGCCAAGTGTGAAAGCCATCCACAGACCCGGATAGCCGAGGGAGGAGGAAGAGACTTAGAGGTGCCAAGAAATGACAAGATGCCCCCCTTGGACCTGATGACCAATTTTTAATCTTTTCCATCCAGGTGTGGAATAAATGGTGTAAGGGGAAGCCGTCATCTGTCATCTTTGAAAGTCATGGGATACAACAGAGATTCCAGAAGCCTAGAAAAGGGCAAATCTAGTGCCTGTGTATACACTGGGAAATAAGTATGACCCAGGGAATTACAGCCTACTCAGCGTAGCTTTTGTATCAGGAAAGATAATGGAGCAGATAATTAAGGAATACATTTGCAAACATCTGGAAGATAATAAAAATAAGGTGATAAGTAACAGCATGGATTAGTAGAGAACAAATCATGTCAAATCAACCTGACAGCTTTCTGTGCTAGGATAACAAGCCTGGATAAGGAGGCAATGGTAAATCTGGTATATTTAGACTTTAGTAAACAATTTGATACAGTGTCTCATGACCTCATTAACAAACTAGGGAAATACAACTTAGATGGGGCTACTGTGAGGTGGGTAACCTTTCTCAGAGGGTAATTATCAATGGTTCACAGTCATGCTGGAAGGCATAACAGGTGGGGTTCAGGAGGGGTCTGTTTTAGGATCAGTTCTGTTCAGTATCTTCATCAGCGATTTAAATGATGGCACACAGAGTACACTGATAAGTTTGCAGATGATACCAAGCTGGGAGGGGTTGCAAGTGCTTTGGAGGAGAGGGTCAGAATTCAAACTTATTTGGACAAACTGGAAAAATGGTCTGAGGTAAATAAGATGAAGTTCAATAAGGACAAATGCAAAGTGCTCCACTTAGGAAGGAACAATTCGTTTCACGCACACAGAATGGGAAGTGACTATCTAAGAAGGAGTCCTGCAGAAAGGGATCTGTGCATCAGAGTGGACCACGAGCTAAATATGCGTCAACAGGGTGACACTTGCAAAAAAAAAAGCAAACATGATTCTGGGCTGCATTAACAGGAGTGTTGTGAACAAGACACAAGAAGTCATTCTTCCGCTCTGCTCTGTGCTGATTAGGCCTCAGTTGGAGTATTGTGTCCAGTTCTGGGCATAGTGTTTCAGGAAAGATGTGGAGAAATTGGAGAAAGTCCAGAGAAGAGCAAAAAATTAAAAAAAAACATTAATGGGTCTAGAAAACATGAGCTAGGAGGGAAGACTGAAGGAACTGGGCTTGTTTAGTTTGGAAAAGAGAAGACGGCAGCCATGTAAATTTAAATGAAGCCTTTGCCTATGTGTCTAATCTACATGCCTCTGCCGACAGAGGCATGTGGTCTAGACACAGCCTAGGAGAGGGTGACCGGGCATGCAATGGTGGGGTGTCTTTGTGGACGGTGAGATGTTTACCAACGTGAGTCTGTGAGGGGCCTGCTGCTGCTAGAAGGCTGGAGCCAGCTGTGTAACTCATGGCGCAAAGGCCAGGGGAGTTTCTCAGCAATGGTTTGGAGGCAGCCCTGGACGTGGCAGATGAAGTAAGGAAACGCAGAAATGAGGGGAACTTGCTGCTGATGTTCACAAAGAAATAGGGAAATAAACAACACTGCAAACAGGCATGAAGTCAGCTCAGCGCCACATGCCTGGAGCTGTTATTAAGCACATTATGCCTTCACTGGGCAGACAGGAAGTGCAGCTGCCAGCCAGACACTGTTACTACCCGTCCATCTGCAAGCTCCATTTGTACTCAGAGCAACAGGAGTCTGGAATAACCCTTTCCCTGCCAGAAGGCTCTGCTGGACTCCTGCTGGGAGCTAATGCCACTTGCTAAGCCTGCAGCTGCACTTACCCATTGTTCCAACAGGGGAGAGCAGGTGTCGGACAATGCTCTGTGTAGGAACACCCAGGGTATCTTCTGTGGTCCCCGCCCCAGCACCGGCTCTCAGATGTCCTCTCCAAGAAAGAGTCTGCAGGGTCAGAGAGCGGAGTGCAGACTTTCGCGCTACGCTCAGGGATTGCACCCCAGCCCTGACTGG